CATTAATCTTTATGTAGAGATTTTCTGTAGACGTTGTTAGTGTTTTTATTTTCTGTTTTTAGTGAAGTTACTTTACACTTTTTTATTCTCTTTTTAGCTTTTATGGTGCTGTTAGTTGTCTCTTTGACTTTCGTTTTCGTTTCAACTGTGCAGTATATATATTATGTATATATCAGTATCATTATATATATCAGTATCATATATATGTATATATATGCAGTATCATTAAGAGAAGTATATTTGATAACTTCGTAATTGCAATTATAATATATTGTAAATATATGTACTAATAAATGTTTAATAATTGACTAAGTTACTTTACTAAATGACTTTGATAAATTTTAAATACACATTCTTAACCTATATTTTCAAATTTCTTTATTGAAATAAAAAGTACATAACATAAAGTATATAACATATATAGAATATGATCAGAAAGTAACAACTTTGTGAGCAATGTATATTGTCTATTTAGTTAAGTGTTTCTTTGTGTATTGGTTGCACTACCAAAAACGTATGTATTAACTATAAAAAGTTTGCGATGCTTAGTTTGTGCTTATCCAGCGAAGAAGTAAGACACACATCAGTGTATTGACAATTTTTATCAAATTTTTTATCTCGGCTCAAAGAATTTGTGCGACCGTTTTTATCAAAAACAAAATTTAATCCAATGAAGCATTCAAAATATTGAAAAAAGTCATTTAATAAGATCTTTTACGAAGATAATGAAGACTATGTGAGGTCTTAGCATGAGGTCTTATGAGAACCAATGAAAAAATTAAATCGGTTATGTTTTACAAGTACAAGTTAATTATTATTCAGATTGCTAAAGAATGTGAAATGTCGTAGGGTTTATGCTAAGTGGCTTTTAAGAATGTCTTATACATAATCCCAGTAACAGAGATAATAGTTTCAAAAAATGTGTTGCTTTTCTAACAGTTTATAGCCAAAAATTATATTACTCTTAATTAATAATGCCACAAATATTCTATTATACACATATAGTACCGAGAGCTCTTTTTTCTATTTTTCACACTCGAAAAGGCACTCATAGTATAACTTTTAAAACAATTTGTGACATAAAGATGAAGGGCTATAACTAAGTTCCATTAGTGTTCCATGAAGACACATTGATATAAATACATAATTTTAAAGATAGACTATTTGTAGGGAATAAAATAAATATTTAAGATAGTGTTCATTACTTTTTGATTACACTTTGTTTGTGTAGGCTTGGAATGAGATGTAGTCAACCAATTCTACTAATTTATCGATTTTATGTGACTGGCTTTACAGTACCTGTACGTAACTGATGAACTAGCGCATAGGCCAACAGATAGACTATATGCGTGGTTTACATGCGTTACGATGTCTTCTTCATTGCATTATATATATTTTGATAATTGTAATATACGTTTTTCATGGTGATAAACAAACTAGTTTATATTTAATAAAACTAAATTAAAATTTCTAAATTTAAAATACATTTAACACACATTACACATCGTAGATTTCTTGCTTCAAGGTCAAATTTCTAGGTGTTCATTATTGGATAGTAAATTTCAAGGTTAATTCTTTTTCAAACAACATTTTAAAGTCTAAAAATTCAAGGTTTTAATCTAACCAACCAATATTTTATTTTTATACCTAAAAGTATCAATCCTTTCAACCAGTCAACTAACTAACGTACATGAAAGCAAGAACGAAAAGTAAACAGCAAAAACAAGGATCAGGAAATATTTAAGTATCCTTTCAATGCAAGACACCCACCTTTTGGTGTTCACCTACGTATACTTAATGCTATTGTTGTGCGGTTGAATGGTTTGCATGTAAAATATTTTATTTTTTTTATTATTTTGATAGAAAAAAGCTACGAATAATAGATAAATCGACATTAAGTAGGGCAGACTACAGTTCCGAAGGTTGAGTTTGTAAACAAACATTTTCAATGTAATTCAATGGTAAAATAAATAAATGCTCATAAATCATATCAGAATTTTAGTACTGCCGTTGTCCAGATACGACTTGATATACTTTGTTTCCAACTAAAATAAATTATTTTAATTCCTTTTAATAATGTTTTTGAGATTTTATGTTTTTATAAAGATACTCTGAAGGACAAAATTTCCGAGAAATAAAAGTAATGCTAAGAGAGCTATGGAGAATTACAAGAAATATAAATTGGAAATATATTGGAAAAATAATTTATTATTTCTAAAAATCTAATAAATTGAAAAAATAATTATAAAAATTATAAAAAATGTTAAATACATGCACTGCATTCACCATTAACTAGAAATACATGGTCAAGTGATTTCCAGTAGAGTATTTAGACAACTCAACTATAGCAAACGAAATCCTTAATTTCTCATATTGCACTCTTTAATCATTATACTATTTTACTTAACTTAATTTATTCATTTTATTATACACAATACATACATGAAATAAAACAACTTCATACAATAAAAAATATAACACAAGTCAAATTTTAATATAAGTATTTTATCTACTATTGCATCTGTTATAAACATCCATGTGTTTATACTTCTATCTACTACTGCACCTATAGTATAACTTAACTGACAATAGTTGTGGTGAAGTTCCAGAATTTAACGTAGATACCTGGTATGAAGGCTCAACACCACGGTATTCTTCACACACGCATTGGTATATTGCACCGATTAACGCCCCATAGGAACTCCAATGATTTCCGCCGGTATCAGTTGAAGTTATATGTTTGGGCATAACTTCCTCCTTAGTGAAGAGCGAGGCCTATCTAACACCTATGCTGATCTTTGAGTCATAGCACTCAGTTGGAAAATGCAACTCCACATCGAATGATTGTAAATGAATACAATCATTCTACCCGCTGCGGAGTCTGACCTTCAAAGTACCAGATTTTCACCTCCGGTCGGGTGTCGTTAGTGAATTTCACAGTTATGGTGATCCGCTCTTAATGGAAATCCATATTTTCGTAATTGTAGTTATGACTGGACCTATAGTACTACATATATAATGCAACTGAACATGGTCAACGTGGTCCGCTAAAACTGGCTACCTACGTAATTGTTTATCGACTATTGTACCTGCATCAGTGCTTAGGAAGCACCCGTCACTGATGTCCAAGCCGAAAAAATATTTAGGAAGTTATTTCATGGATCATAAGGATCCAAGACTAGGAACGATAGACTCTATACTGTATTTGCTTAAAGAAATCGGACTTGGTGAAACACTCTAATCTGACTAAGGGGCACAATAGATCTTTTAAGTCGCAGCGCACTATCCCTTCTTTTCAATAATAATAATAAATTCAAATTATAGGGTTAAGTTTAAATATTTAATTATTTTTTACAATTAATGTAATGTACTATTCGGTCTACTCAAATCTAAATTTATCAGAAACTAACCTAATTTTTTATATATGTAATAGAAATTCGTTCAAATTGTCTTTTAAAATGCAATGTTTATAGTAAAATCTATTATTTTTATGGTTTCAATTATTGGCAAAGAATTTGAATGCCGTCAATTAATTATTATTTCCTTTTAATGAAATAATAATTAAGCTTAAAAATCAGAAGAAAAAATAATTTCGAATGTATAAAAGAAATGAAATTTGAAATGATTGGATCGGAAAGGAAAGGAAAGAAAAGCAGCCAATCATGAAAAATAAATAGACGTAAAAACAATTCAATCTAAATACAGCTGTAAAAATAAATATATACTATATCAGATATACCACCAGTATGAGTACGTATCCGTGGATGTAAAACTTAGAAATGCACGAATTGTGTGCAACTCAAGGTTGAGTAGGTGCCAATGAGCTGAAGAGCTTTTTGTATTGGAAAATTTTTCTGTCAAATTCAACGATAGATAAACAATTTTTTCTTCATTTTTCCAATAAGTTTAATGATGGATACTTTGCATTTGACATTTCGAGCACGTTTGCTAACAAACTCGTATTTGTATTACGAATTTTTATTGATATTGACTAGTTTTTGTTGTAGTAAAGAAATACACTATTAATCTAAGCTATTCAATCATGCTCGAGCCAATAAAATGAAACCAAAAATAATAATTTTATGTAAATGTAATAAATTGGAATTATTTTAAAATACCACAGAAATATGGAATACTGCAGAGCTTTAAGTTCAAGGTGTTATGAAAAACCAAACCATTTCTGTGAATTCTGTGAAGGTAACGAAAAAGATATAATATTAAGGGCTAAGGTTTTTTACAAAAAATTGTTGTGAAATTATTGTATCTTTCCATTTCTTAGTGCTGTTTAATCGCACTTTTTAATGTTCAAAACATATATATAGAAGTATTCCACAGTAAATTAGTGAGATTAGTCTTCTGTTGTTTAGCGCTGTTAACTGGTAGTTCTCAACATTATACAGAGGTTTAATATAACTTTGTTTTTCATATATTATATTTTGTTGCATTGATATCGCTTTTTGTTTTTGCCGAACAGCTTGACTTTTCCTTATATTAATACATATGAACGCAGTTGACCTTTACCAGTGTACATTATATAAAATGAATTTACGTAAATTAAATAAAAATTAATTTAATTTTTGTAGTAGGGGTTTTTTTTAACTGGATTTCATAACAACATTGAAGAAAAGACCAAAACAATATATTACAATAAAAATTTGATCGAAATCTCAGTCATATTTACTTTTGCAACTATCTTTAATATCCCCGGATATACATAGTTGTGCATAGACAATAGATAGAAAGGTAGAAAAGCTATTAACAAATATTTTTATAATATTTATTTATTTATAAAGAATACAGACTGAATTACTAGAGATGGTGAACCGATAAAGACTAGAATTCTTCTGGCAAACTTTAAGGCATCCAAAAAACTACTGTCTGCTTAAATTGTTTAAAG